TAACAAATCGGTCCGTATTCAAAGGGTTGAAGACTCGTCTCGAAAAGGCTAGAGGTAGTGGGTTGAAGAGCTCTACAACTTTCTCAAGCCTACCGTACCACATCAAGAAGTCCAACTTGGTAGACTCTATATATCTTGTGCTTCGACACCGTGATTATCATCCAAGTTGATATCGCACTTCCAAACCCATGAGTTCAAACCTTCAACTCAGGCAACCACAAGGAGAAGGTTTGGAAACACTTGAACCTCCTCCCCGAAATAAGTGATGTGGCCAACCATAGGGTTGTTTACTATCGCCAGAGCGTTGCCTGCAACTTCAACTGAAAAGTCAAGCCTCGATCTATCTCTATTAGAGACCTGATCCTGCAAAGTTTAGAAGCAACTAGTCATAGCCCGCAACGAAACAAATTGTCTCTCTCTACATTTTCACTGACATGATCCGAATTAGAGCCTTCAAGCTCAAGGACTCGGAAGGGTAGACACTACCACAAACTTGAAACGCAAAAAAATCTTTCCAAATACTATAAGCAACAGTCTAGTTCAGTCTTCGTCTTGTGTCTGTTTGATTTATTGTTTGTTTTCTACAGTTATTGTATATTGCATTGATGTGTTCCTTATCTGCGTCAATATACCTCGGACTCATTAAATTCGTGTAATTCTCTTGTTTTTTTTCCACATAAGTGACACCTTCAAAAAGTGTAACAGTTTATTTACGAACCACCTCAAGCTCTTGACCCAAAAAAAGCACAACTTCGGTTGCATCTTTTTTTAATAAGACATGACAATTTACTGTTCATTAGTGTCCACTTCTCTCTTTTTTTATTTATCTCTCTCATTACTTACAATCTACACAAGGATAAATCAAAATTCAACATCATAAAAAGGGCGTTGAGTGTGGATCATACCACACAAAATAAGAGCAGCCATATGAGAAGAAACCAACAACAGACACATGGATTATACGGAATGCACCTGAGATTTAGTAGCTCAACGAATTCAGGAATTGACGGATCATATGTTGGATGTCATCCAAAATGCGTTAATCTACAGAAAAAATCAACATACTCAAGTGGAAGGGTCGGTGCTTAACGTCAAAAGAGTCCCGCGACCTTGAAAGGGGAAGGCGATTCCCAATACTTCGATGGTGTTGGGTCGGCACCGATTGATCGACATTGGATCGGATGAACTAAGGCACCCTCACAACCCGAGAAAGTATTATCTCTGCAAATATCTATGGTTGAGTCAGCAGAACGATTCAACACCCAAGTACTAGAGTCGACAAAAGACAAAACAATCCGACCAACCACATAGCCTAGCTTTGAGTAAACTATGTCTGGTAAGGATTACAGACATGTTGAAGTGTCGTATTTTATTCACTGTCCTAAGGGAGTTAGCTCTCATGTAGTTCAACGGATTGTTGTCGGGAGTAATTATGTCATTCCCTAACTCAAAACGGATGTTTGTGACAAAATTTAATAGTGCCCAAAAGCCACATAAGAAACTCGCATGCTCTTCAAGGACTCGGAAGGGTAGACCTTGCCTCAAACTTAGAATACAAAAAATCTTCCAAAATGTTATCAGCAACAGTCTAGTTATGTGGTCTTCATTTTGTGTTTGTTTGATTTATTGATTGTTTTCTACAGTTATTTTATATTGCATTGATGTGTTCCTTATATGCGTCAATATACCTCAGACTTATTAAATTCGTGTAATATTTACGAACCATCTCAAGCTCTTGACCCAAAAAAAGGCACAATGTCAGTTGCATCTTAGTCGGAGCTCGATCAATCTCAAAGGGATTCAATCCATTTCTTCCAAATGGATTAAAATCGTCGAGTTTTTACTCTGATAAACAATCCAGGATATGCTAAAAGTCCTTGGCGGACTGCACCCAAAACCATCCATACCGGTTCAAAAGCGAGCACTGTTCAACTAACAAACTCGAGCATGATAAAAATTCTTGATGAATTTCGTTGATTTTTCTCAAACAAGCTTAACATGATTGAGTAATAATCTGACGCGCAGCCTCAGATAAGTCGAAGGCCGATGGTGTTTTTTTTCCCATAACAGCTTCCTCGCAAACCAGAAACTCTAAGCAACATCAGGCATCCACTACGGCATGAAAAAAAAATATAGTTCATCATTATCACAAGAAAGATACAAAAGAAAGATGTTCGGGAGGCAAATAGCCAATGAAATCAAATAATTAAACAAGATCATCAACAATTATATCATTATCGCTAGCACAACCTCTATCAAAAATATATAAAAAAAAGTAAAAGCTGAAAAGAAATAGCTACATCTGATGCAAACAAAGATACTGAAAACAGATAAAGAAGAATAAAGTGTTAATCGATATCAATGTTCTCTTCTAACCCCTCATCGTCGCTAGAGAACACCTTCTTCGGTTCACTCTCGATATCCTTCAATTCCTCAGAAGCTTGGCTGGGAGTGAGCCCCTCCACGATAATACTAGTTCGGCATTGCACTACACAACTCCCTTTCATGAAGCCTTGGATGAATCCCTCCTCAATGAACTACTTTTATTGCTCATTTTCCTTAACATTAAGTATGTGGTTGCGAGTCTCTTGGACGTGATCCCGAATAGTAGTCCTAAACTCAAGCAAATTTTTAAAGTTCTCAACTATGCTATGCTCTGGCTCGGCAACATCGACTTCCCTTGGGGACCTCAAATTTCGAATCTCTTATTCCTGTGATATTGTCAACTGTAAGGTCTTCACGCTCCTATTAATCAAACTAAGATCAGCTCGTGCCTCAACCAATGCCTCGCAAGTCAGACGGATAAAATGATTATACATTAGTAAAGAATTTAAAAAAAAAACTCACAAAGTCCTCAGCCTCCAAGAGCCTGATGCATGCATGAGAACACATTTTCAAGAATATGAATGGTTGAAGAACTGGGAAGAGGTTTCCTCTGTTCTTCACCCTTCTTGCATTGTTTCTGAGGAAGTACTTCACAATCGCTGCTTGGAGGAGGTCATTTTGCAGGTACAACAGTGGTTGGCTCAGAGGGTCCCCTCTTTGATTTCTTTAACAGCATGGTTGCGGACCACTCAGGGTGGAATGAAAGTTTGGCATTGAACAAAGACTCCTCGTTCTCAAATTCATGAATAGGTTGCGCTTCAAACTGCATCTTCTCAACATCCTGAAATTCCAGCATCCACAATATTTCGTCTTTGGTGATCTGGAGGGAGATTGACAGATGTTGAAACTTATCTCGCCTTACACGGAGCCTCAATCATTCCTTGCAAAGAAAACCTCACGGGCCACTGCCTCATTTCATCTTTCGGTTAAAAATTCAATGTTTTGTTTTTAAACCACACACGAGCATGTGCGCCACTACTAAACCCGCCTAGACGGGCCAAAATTTCTAGCTTCAACTTCGACCAGCACTTCCTGAAGAAGATGATCAATCCAATAAGAACTATCATTGCCCAACAAGGGACATGGGCAATGCATAGTTCGGTTGCCTTCGTAATCTCCATCAACTCAAACGCTGTTGGAAATCGCAGACCACTCGCAAGACTGCCTCATGAACAATAATATATCAGGAAGAGAATACTTATGATCACTAAGAGTTGGCAATTTCACCATCATAATACTCCAAAAATAGTTTTTCTTCCCAAATAAAATCAGTTCGCTCTACCTCAAGTTTAATGTCTCATCCTCCGAGTTTTGGCCCTATCGTGAACAAGAGGAGGGGGGTGGCGGAGGGGTAACTACTTAAATTAAATTTCATGAAAGCCATTATAGACTAATTGAAATTTAATCCAAGCAAACTTCTATAAATCAAAGCACAAATCAAATAAATATCCAACAATTTTAGTTAGGTTTAAATTCTAAGAAAAGTCAATTTTCACTTTAAAAATACTTATTAGACATGTCTTATCGCCTGACCCTTTTCTACCTAATAATGCTCACCCTAATACCCACCTTTTATCATGGTCACCTATTTCAAACATAAGATTCATGGCTATAGATATCATCGCCATTGTCAACATCTAATAATTAATTTGAAGATAATACCACATTGCCAAATTTAAACTTTCACTGCCATTTTACCAATCTTTCTTCTTCTGCTAATTAACCCAACCTACAATCAAATCAAACACACACAAAATTCTTAGTGCAGCTGTAATTGTTGAATGGAGCCCAGGCCTAAGCTCAAAATTAATCGGTTCTCAGGTCAAAAGTCGGTTGCATTCCTGTTAGGCCTATGTAACAATTGAAAATTTGTAGATAAAATTGTAAAAAAGCTAATAGGTGATGCATAAAATTCCACAATATTTAACACAAATGTGTATGTATGAAAAAGACTAGCTTTAACTCAGTGGTTCCAAGAATTTGCAAGCTTCCGAGCCAAGTCTTTTTTTTTTCACATGGTGGATGCGTCAATCTTACATAAATATTTAAAAAATAAAACAAAAGATATTAGAACAAATACTAAAAGAATACAAGAATCAAAGTTTAAAAACAACAAATTTTAAATTCATTGAAAGTTTGCCATTGAATAAAATATCAAAGCAATAAGAAAGTGATGATATGGTTTTTTTTTAAAAAAAATAAAAAATAGCTCACGCTATTATACAGAATGTTCAATCAACAATTAGCCATCAGCTTTAATGCTACATTTACTATTGGATCCTTCAAGCACACAAATAAGCCCTCATTTTTATTGAATGGGAGACCATGATAAAACCAACCACAGTGAATGAGTTAAAATCGCACTTAATTTAAATATATATTCACTAAAAGAAATTTGAAATGCTTGTCCCTCATTGTAATTAGTCAACAGTTCATGTTCTAGTGTCAACTTAAGTATAAAAGTCAGTACTTCTAAGTGGGCATTAACAAGTCTACTTTAGTAAGGGTGCTAAAATATTGACATAGATTTAGATATATCTGACCATGTTTGAAGCATGAAAAAGTGGCTACATCAAATAAAAATAGTGCGCTGAAATTAAGAATGAGAAACTCACCCAACAATTACAACAAGAGCTGACAAGGATGAGCTGCCATTATCAATCAGCTAAATGCTAGCTCATACTGTTCCAATGGCTTTCTCCAAGCCAACTAGAAAAGCAAAGCAGCCTTAGGATCAAGAAAACCATTCTTGCACATCATTCCAACCACAATCTCTGCTTCAGACCTCCTACCAGCTTTTGAATATGCTTTATACATGATCAAAAAAGTCTTTTTTGTTCGATCAAACCTGAAATGTTCCATCTCCTGCAACGCTCCATGCATGCCATCTATCTGGTTCCGCTGCCCATACATCACCATCTTACAGTGATAAAGAGAACGGCATAGTTTCCACCCAGCACATTCTGCCAGCCTTATGAATTTGATCAACCGGTCAATGGAATCACAACGGAAATAACTGGAAATGATGGAGCGCATGACACCTATTGCTATGACTCTTACTTCCCTGTTAACTGCCTCTGAGATGAACTTCTCCATGGCATCTAGTAATCCCTCCTGAGCATATAGCCTGATCATAAGAACATTTAACCACGGCCTGTACTCACCTTCTGGAATATGCTTGGTCAGCTCCTCAATCTTGCTCACCCTATTTTTAACTGAACTCTTGCAATATGCACATATCATAGCTCTAACAAGCGGTGAAACACTCCTGTTCACCATATCCTTTACTAATTCATAAGTCTCCTCCATCTTCTCAACATTGCCAGCATGAGCATAGCCACGAAGCATGAGGAAGTGCGTGAAAGTGTCGGGCTTAACATGCCCTCTTATCATTCCCTTGTAAGTATTCTCCATACGATCCCACATCCAAGCGGTGAGATAAGCGGCCATGAGAATATTGTAAGTACTTAGATTAGGGGAGATATGGGGGTGCTCGTGGATTTGTTTAAGGAGATTCTCCAATTTATCGATGAGCATCAAGCGACCGTAAACTGAGAGAAGAATGTTATAAGTTACAATGGTGGGCTCGCATGCCGGGTCGCGCGTAAGGTCCTCAAAGACGGAAATGGCCTTGGACGCGAGACAATTGTACATGTACGCTGCCATGAGAGAGTTATACATCCCTGTGCTTCGTATTCCTCGACGGCCGGCATCGGTGAAAAGATCACCGGCAAGGTCGGCCTTGTTGGACCGACCAGCAAGGGAGATGGCCTTGGCATACTCCTCTGGGACAAGTTGCACACCGGCATCAGCCAACTTCAGCCGCCAAAGAAAAACCTATCATCGGGGACCAAAAGTAGAAAGCTCGATAAGCAGACGAGAAAAGGGTTAACTATAAACCCTACCAGGACAAGTTAAATCCTTTACCTGGACAGCGAGGCGGGGACGAGTTTTTAAACGAGACAGCAACTCGACAAAGGCCAACCCTGAGGGAGAATGGCGAAGTAGGGAAACAGCTGAACGAGAGTCAAGAAAGGCGGCTAGATCGGTGAGATCATCATCATCTTCGAGATTAGCAAGGTGACCGGCGGCAAGGAGTTCATCAGCGAGAGAGGAGACCTGCGAGCGAATGTCATCAACATCTCCATCTTGCGTGACACTAGTCGGCTTCTCAGTGAGCAGAAGAATGCGCTCACGGAGATCGGTGATGTCATCCGAGGAGCAGGAGGAGTAGCGGCGGCAGTATCTGACGGTGGCTGGGTTTATGATTTTGGGGCGGCGGATGAGGTGGGGCGCGAGATGAAGACGAGGGAAAGAATTTCGCACGAAGCACCTGCGGAGGATCTGGAGATGTCTCAGGTTCGCCATGACGGCGACGGGCTCAGCATCATCCTTAACCAGAAAACCATAAGGAGCCGTCTGGTAACGGATTTAGAGCAAGATTTTACCTGGATTTGTCCTAAATCCTGCCAGTTGGTCGGTTTGAACAAAATAAAGCCACTCCAACTGATTTCGGCCGTAAATCCCGGATTACTAAATCCTGCGATTCGCGCTAAAAGGAAGATATGAAGTTACCTTCCTCCATCTGCCTCCATGGTTTCGTCACGAAACCAATGGTTTTGGGAAACCGGGAGAGGGGTTAGGGAAGTAGGCGAGCGTTTCCGGCTGGCGAGGGGAAAGGTCTCTGGGCGAAAGCGGGTGAAGGGGCGATGTCGGCGAGGGTTTCCGACGTACAGACAGGGAAAGGGAGATGGGATTATTGTTTTAATTTAGTTCTATTTAAGTTTTTTAATTAATTTAACTGATTAATACTTATTTTTAAATTTAATTTATTATCAAATTAATTATGCCTACAAATATATATATGTAATTAATTATTAATTATTTTATAAAAATATTTATTTTATAATTTAAATTATTTAATAGTTAGCGAATTTAAATATGTTTTAAGTGATATAATTAATTGTTACTTAATTGATAATTACTTAATATTAAAATTATTATTAAATAAGTATCTAGTTTAATAATTTTATTAATAATTAATTATTTTAGGAAATAATTATTTTTTAACTAGTTTCTCATAAATAATATTTTAGGAAATAATTATTTTTTAACTAGTTTCTCTTTATTATGTTAAATTTGATGACTAATTTTGAACATAATAATAAAATAATCAAATTTTAATATTATATTTTACTATAAGTCATAACAAATTTTAAAATTCTTATAAATGTTACCAATTAATTTCAAAAGATTTATTTGAATTTATTAAATTCGTTGTCAAATAATTTTTTAAGTTTAGTCTTTTCAATATTTACTATATCTTGATTTATATGATTTACTAAATCTATTAACTTAAATGTAATATAGTTTCTAAACGATTCAGACTCAAAAATAAAGCGTTAAGTGTTTAGAAAGTTTCCCAATTTAGTTTTGAAAAAAATATATAGATGCCACAATTCTTATTTTCTTTTTTATTATTATTTTATGTGACTCAAGATTGCAACAATAGATTAAAAAAAAATTTAAATTTGATCATTGTTTAAAAAAAGGTAAATTATAATTCCTTGGTATAAAAATTCATTTGAGATTATATTTTCTATCATTAAATATTAAGATATTATTATTGTTGTTGTTGTTATTTGTGCATAAAAAATGTGAACACCGATTCTGAGGAGGTGTAACGGCTGAGATGAGAATAGTATAAAAAATGAGGACCCGCTTATAGAAAGATCATGAGGCATGTCTGTCTGAATAAGCGAAACTGTACGAGTCTAGTAAGTATGACCAAAGCTGACTGAACCAAAAAACAGACCAAATACGAGCCACTTAGCCATAAACAACACAAAAGGCTATCCAAGCCAACCAACAAAGGATAGTCGATCCAAGGGAAGATCTACTTCCCTAGCATCTTCAACCATCATAAGGACGCCTAGAGGCTCTTCATCATGGGTAAATGATCAACATTCAAGTTATATTAACCGACCAACCCGTATCGACCAAGCTCAGCTGATCGAGCTTATCTTGTCGACCAGAAACCGATTAAGGATAGTCGACCAAGTCAGAAAGTAGTCTGACAACACTTGTTCAAACCATGCATGTAACGTACCAGAAATATCACAGTTCAAACCATTAATATAAAATCATCATATTATGGGATCTCTATAAATAAGGAAATTATTTTCTGAATAAGATACGATGATATTTATTTTATAATTTAAATTATTTAATAGTTAGCGAATTTAAATATGTTTTAAGTGATATAATTAATTGTTACTTAATTGATAATTACTTAATATTAAAATTATTATTAAATAAGTATCTAGTTTAATAATTTTATTAATAATTAATTATTTTAGGAAATAATTATTTTTTAACTAGTTTCTCTTTATTATGTTAAATTTGATGACTAATTTTGAACATAATAATAAAATAATCAAATTTTAATATTATATTTTACTATAAGTCATAACAAATTTTAAAATTCTTATAAATGTTACCAATTAATTTCAAAAGATTTATTTGAATTTATTAAATTCGTTGTCAAATAATTTTTTAAGTTTAGTCTTTTCAATATTTACTATATCTTGATTTATATGATTTACTAAATCTATTAACTTAAATGTAATATAGTTTCTAAACGATTCAGACTCAAAAATAAAGCGTTAAGTGTTTAGAAAGTTTCCCAATTTAGTTTTGAAAAAAATATATAGATGCCACAATTCTTATTTTCTTTTTTATTATTATTTTATGTGACTCAAGATTGCAACAATAGATTAAAAAAAAATTTAAATTTGATCATTGTTTAAAAAAAGGTAAATTATAATTCCTTGGTATAAAAATTCATTTGAGATTATATTTTCTATCATTAAATATTAAGATATTATTATTGTTGTTGTTGTTATTTGTGCATAAAAAATGTGAACACCGATTCTGAGGAGGTGTAACGGCTGAGATGAGAATAGTATAAAAAATGAGGACCCGCTTATAGAAAGATCATGAGGCATGTCTGTCTGAATAAGCGAAACTGTACGAGTCTAGTAAGCATGACCAAAGCTGACTGAACCAAAAAACAGACCAAATACGAGCCACTTAGCCATAAACAACACAAAAGGCTATCCAAGCCAACCAACAAAGGATAGTCGATCCAAGGGAAGATCTACTTCCCTAGCATCTTCAACCATCATAAGGACGCCTAGAGGCTCTTCATCATGGGTAAATGATCAACAATCAAGTTATATTAACCGACCAACCCGTATCGACCAAGCTCAGCTGATCGAGCTTATCTTGTCGACCAGAAACCGATTAAGGATAGTCGACCAAGTCAGAAAGTAGTCTGACAACACTTGTTCAAACCATGCATGTAACGTACCAGAAATATCACAGTTCAAACCATTAATATAAAATCATCATATTATGGGATCTCTATAAATAAGGAAATTATTTTCTGAATAAGATACGATGAATTACTGTTCATTAGTGTCCACTTCTCTTTTTTTTTATTAATGTCTCTCATTACTTACAATCTACACATGGATAAATCAAGATTCAACTTCATAAAAAGGGCGGTGAGTGTGTATCATACCACGTAAAATAAGAGCAGCTAGATGAGAAGAAACCAACAACAGAGACATCGATTATATGGAATGCACCTGAGAGTTAGTAGCCCAACAAATTCAAGAATTGAAGGATCATATGTTAGGTGTCATTAAAGGTTCGTTAATCTAAGGAAAAAATCAACAGACTCGAGAGAAAGTGTCGGTGCCCAACGTCAAAAGAGTTATGCGGCCTTGGAAGGGGAAGGTGATTCCCAATAATTCAATGATGTTGGGTCGGCGCCGATTGATTGACATTGGATTGGATGAACTAAGGCACCCTCACAACTCAAGCTAGTGTTCTCTTTGCATATATCTATGGTTGAGCCATCAGAATGATTCAACACCCTAGTACTAGAGTCCATAAATGACAGAACAATCTGACCAAAGCCACATAGCCTCGCTTGAGTAAACTATGTCGGGTAAGAATCACCGACATGTTGAAGTGTCGTATTTTATTCACCTTGCTAAGGGAGTTAGCTCTCATGTGGTTCAACGAATTGTTGTCGAGAGTAATTACGTCATTCGCTAACTCAAAACAGTTGTTTGTGGCAAAATTTCATAGTGCCCGAAAGCCAAATAAGAAACTCGCATGCTCTTTTATAATTATGATAGGGACAAAGTGAGAGTTTGTGCTTGTTTATAGATCTCTTATAGAGGAAATGTTGGAATAATGAGACTTGGAGTCCACAGTGACTCATGTCATCATAGCTCAAGGGTTATAGAAATGACCCATTTGATACGCACCAATCTTGCTGCAATCGAAGACACTTGCATAGTTATTGGAGTTGACCAACAATTATGTATCAACCACAATAACTCCAACCTTGCTTTTTCCATAGTATAGCCCTCCGCATGTCGCCCGCATAAGAGGTTTGCCTAAGGTGAAGGCTGTAGAAGCAGACATCATTTGCAACCTTCTGCCTGTCCATGACACAAACACGCTTGACCACTCTGAGATCATCAAATGACCAATAAAACACATCACTAAGGGAGTCAAGTTGGTATCCTGGCCAACGGCTGGATCAATACGACAAGCGTCTGTAGCCTAACTATGAAGTGCCCAAAAAAAATTTGATTAGAGTTTCAATGGTAGAGATAACGGAGGTCATATAAAATAAATATTACTTTAAAAGAGCACCACCGATGAAGATCATAGCTCATCTTTGAGACTCTAAGAAGTAATGTGTCTACCACTAGGACCATGGACAAAACAAGGGGGAATGTCGACATCTCAGATGCCTAATCGAAGATCAAATCAAAGCAAAAAAAATTGAAGAGATTTGTGGTACTAGATGCAACAAACCAGTGACAAGGGATGGCTTTGATTAATGAGATTATTTTCATTCTTTTTCTCTTTTTATTTTTGATGGAGTTTTCAACTTGTTTATGATTGTATACTTCTCTTTTTTGAGTAAATCTCTCTTCTAAATCATATGGATGATCTGGAGAATGGAAGAATAAGAAGGTAATGACATACAATAATGAAGACAAACGAGAAAAAACACGTGGAGAACTTTCATAAGGTAAACCTCGCATGATAGCCCAAAAATGTACAACTAAAACGAGATCGAATCGATAATGCTTTAGAAGATATATGCGATGAAGAACCTACGAAATCAACTTAAAATTGGATATTCAAGTGTGTGTGCTTGGTCTGGGGTTAAGAACAAATTGAAAAATGATGTATTTCTTTGATTAATTACATCTTGAGGTGCCCAAGAATATTCTCGATTAAAGAAATCGTGTTTACACTTTTATAATGACTAGTAAAGGGTGTCATAAAAGGAGATTTATCTTACATGAGTATCATGATGCCTTCAAAGCTCATGTCGATACATACAAGCAGAGAGTGAGCCTCTCATGATCCCATAAGAATTGCAGCTTATCAGCAACCAGCAACCAAGGCATATGAAATAAATGGGTAGTCTCATAAATTCCACACTATGCTTCCAATGTCAAATCGAGCCATAAGGGTAAAGAGTGAAATACCGTATCCCAAATAAGCGAATGTCTATCCACAATCGAGGCCTACAAGATGACATCTACGAAGTGTCAAGAGGAGCGACATGGCTCAAATGAGGTAAATAAAGGAATGGAAGAGTAATCATAATCGAGTAAAGATAGTCGGGTCAGGTGA